TACTCTAGGTCAGGTTCCTTGGGTCTCCTGACATCTTGTGTGAGATAATTCTATGTAGGATGTTTAGCAGCCTCCCTGGTCTCACCTCTCTGTATGCCAACTCTCCCTTCTCCCTTAAAGTCATGACTATCAAAAATGTTTCCTAGGGGTTTGGATGTAGACTTGTGGTAGACACTTGTGGAGCGTGTGTAAGGACCTGGGTTCGACTCCCAGAACTGCAGGAAAAAAAGTTTCCAGACATTGCCACATGACCCCAAGAGGACTATGCAAAATTGCCTCCAGCTGAGAAGCACTACTGTAGATGTTTCTGGTACTGAAACTGAATTTTACTTCATTGAACTCTGCTTTAGCTGACAAGCATGAGTTTCAGATTAGATAAAAGCATTGATCTATAGGATATAAACTATATGCTGTGGTTTTAAAACTGAAATTTATTTTTTTGCTAATTTAAAAATGATAACGTTTAATTGCCCTTCAAATGGACCAATAGTTTATTTTTAGAATTTGGAAAGAAGAGCCTCTAAGAGACTAACACATTTTCAGGACAGTACCAGGCATTGTAATGTTGCTTAGCAATGTTTGTCCTGGAGTTGTTTTCCTGGAGGGGTATCTAAAGTGTTTTCTCAGGCCCTGGTTCCTATGATAAAGTATTTCTGTGAGAGTGGATCCCTGGCCCAATCGTCTGGTTCACTGTGAGTGCCTCTAATTATAGAGATGCTCTGTGGGAACATTTTACTTGCAGAATTGCAGTGATCCAGTGTGAGTGTTAACTAACTTCTTTCAACTTTTTTGTGTGTTTGAAAAATTTTCATAATACAGTGTTGCTGGAGGATCAGCCTTTAGAACTGCTGGTGAAGTTGTCTTTCTTTACACTTCTGTTGTTTGAGTTGGATGTGGCCTAGTAGCTTTTCTAACAATATTGTAGTAATTAGGTAATACAATTGGTAGTCCAGCACCAGGCTCTAATTTGGTTAGTGTCCTATTTAAATGGTGAGTGGGCCACTTAATAATGTATAGAAAATTTTTGAGTGGAAGACATTAAGACATTGTAGAGAAGTGTGAAGTAATATTACTTCTACTCTCATGTGAATATTTTCATTTTCTAGCTTCTAAAATGAGATCATTTTCTCAGTATTGTAAGGCTAAATTCTAGGCTTACACCACTGCTTGTTAATTGCAGCATTATCCCTGCCTCTTTATTCCTTTTTCCCACTGTTTTGGCTGATAGTTTTTATAAAATACATCATTTAAATTGTGATTAAAATGTTTCTCGTTAGTTTTGGTGCTGGTTAGAGCAGTATATGGTACATGGTAAAGAGTTAATAAATGCTTCCTAAGTGAATGAATGAGGTTTAGGAAGAATAGGGGAGAAAATATTTCCTGCTAGAAACTTTTTATTCTCCCAGTATGGGACTGGATTTTTTCAATAATGGATAGATTATTTGGAAGTTAATATAGTTTCCTCCAAAATATTTCAGAAATAGTCTAGGAAGATTTTTGTAAGCAACTTATTTATAGGTTAGAATCTCAGATCAGTCAAAGACAGGAGGCATTAGTACTTCTAGGAGTTTCTGTCATTTTAAGAGAGGACAGGATTCCATTATCTGCCACCTTTGTAGGTCTTCTTGTTCTGTTTGATTTTAAGATTAATTGATCTGAAGATTAAGGTTGGATTTCTGTCTTCTTGACTAAGCTTAACAGGGCTACAGTGAGATGAACATGAGTTGGATCAATTTTTATCCTACCAAAACGAGAACAGGCGGAACAGGCTGAGGATGGTGGCTAGTGCCTATAATCCAGCTATTTGGGAAGTAGAGATTGGGAAGATCAAAGTTCTAGGCCAGCCTGGGCAAAAAATTGTGAGACCTCATTTGAATCAACAAGCTCAGTGTAGTTTCTCTTGTCTGTAATCCCAGCATGTGGGAAACTCTAAGTAGGTGGATCATGGTCTGAGGCCAGACCCTGAGCAGAAAATGTGAGCCTTTACCTGAAAAATAACCAGAACAAGGAAATAAAAAAGGGGGTTAGGGGTGTGGCTTATGTGGTAGAGTACCTCCCTAGCAAGCACCGTCCTTAAGTTCAAACCCCAATACTGTTGAACAAAACAAAACAGATTTGAAGGTTTGGGAATAGGAAAAAATACACAGGAGCCTGACATCTTTTAGCTTTTGGACTTGTAATGTACAAGGTTATTAAAAGAAAAAATGCCTTTTGTGTGTGTGTGTGTGGTATTGGGATTTAACTCAGGGCCTGCACCTTGAGCCACTCCACCAGCCCTTTTTTATGATGGATTTTTCGAGATAGGGTCTCACAAACTATTTGCCTGGGCTGGCTTCGAACTGTAGTCCTCCTGATCTCTGCCTCCTGAGTAGTTAGGTTTATAGGCGAGAGTCACCAGCTTATTTTGAACAGACTATTAAATCAAATTAGCTAAATTAACATTTATAGTTAACCAGATCATTACTAAAATCCTACTGATTTAATAGTTAAAAATTAGCTCAGCCAGAAATGAGTGAGGGTGCAGGACTAGAAACCTCTAGGTTGTAACTTGGCAGGGGAGTATTTGCCTCTCTTCCAGCTTGCACTACATTTTTGCAAGCTGCATCGTAGTGTTTATGTGTAAGCATGCCATGAAGCGCCCACATTTTTCCTTCTTAGCAAATTGTGCTAGCAGTTTTTTTGAATGTGAGTACATTTTCTCCGTGTAAATGATTCTGAGGGAATAAATAGAATTAGCAAATGTCATCAGATAATACATTTGTTCCCAGATATTACTAGAATGTGATATTTGTATGTACTAGGTGTTCTGAAGCCAATTTTTGTTCATGAAGAAAATACATGTCTTCCCTGGTCATAGCCTAGAAGTCCTGAGGATATTTCCATGACATCATTGTCATTTAATTAACTATAGATAGGAAGCTCTTTTAGACAAGTTCATTCCAAGGTCTTTCAAGAGCATTGATTCTCTTGAAGTGCTGTTGATAAAACAATAGAATATGTGCATTGACAGTGTACCATCACCTTTCTTGATCCAGCAGGTATTCTTTGAACCTTCCCTTTTATTTAGAATATGAGAGAATGGATTCTATGTTAAGAAAAAACAGGAAAAAGATCAAGGAACCACTTTATCTTACAGTGCCTACAAGTGGCTGGAAATGAATAGAATTAATAGACTTTATGATAAAGCAACTGTTTTAATTTTTCATTGGAAATAGTCAAACGGGGCCATCATCATTGCAGAATAGAGCTTATAATACATGCAGAACAAGGATCTACAAACTTTCCCTGTAAAGAGCTAGACGGTAAATATTTTAGGGCTTTGTGAACTATGCATTCTCTGTTGCAACTACTCACCTTTGCAGTTGGCTAAAGAAGCCATACAGCATATGTAAATGAATGGGCATGACTATAGTCCAATAAAATTTTTTTATGTACACTGAAATCTGAATTTTACATAATTTCTACACATCCAAAATACTCATCTTTTCATTTTTTCCCCCAACAGCTCATAACTAAAAAATCATAACTCTTAAGTCATATAAAAAAAGGTGATAGACTAATTGCTGATCACTAAATCTCAGTAGTGATGTTAACCGATAAAGCATGTAACATGGTTTTAGAGTCTGTCCCACGACCTATTGTGCTTTGTATCTCTCCGTAATATCAAGAGAAGTACAAAAGAAAACACAAAAATTGTTTTATCCTTGAGATGAGATAAGAACAAAGTAGTACTATGAGAGACTAGAGTAAGGCTTGATGGAGCTAGACCTCGAAAATAGTCTTCAGATTTGCTAAAAATATGTAAACACCACGATTGAGTTTAGCAGCTATGGTTCCTTAAACTTAGAATGCAATAGTTGATGAGGGTGTCTTCTGAATTTCACTGCAGAGCTCTTTGAAGATTTTAGTGTTACAGTTTTATGAGACATTTTTTCCAGTGACTGCTGAGAATCTTTCTACTTACTTGTACACAAGGAAAGACTAAATGAAAGAACCTATATAGAAATACAGCTCTTGCTGTGACAACTGTTTGCATCTGTTATTCAAAGACAACTTTAAGTGAGGAAAACAGTGCTATTTAACCAGCATTTTGAGGATTTAGTTGGCAAGCTATTTGGAAATGTTGCAAAGCACAAAACATTTTCATACTCGTATTCCCAGAGTGTAGATTGGGGTTTCTGCCGAGCCTCTTCTGCAGCAGTGTGAAAATGCTTTTGTTTTTTGCTTTGGTTTCTTCCATCTTCTAGAGCAGGTGGAAAAAAGAAATTAGCTTGGAAGGAAGTACTTCCAGTCAAGGAAAAGAGCTAATATTATAAAGGACAGAGAAATTTTTCTTAGGTCAGATAAATCAAATTCAGTGAAGGTTAGTGAGAAGAAAAAAGCATAAGAAGCCACAGAATCAGTTGTTAGAACAAGTTTTATTTCAGTGAGTCAAAACAAAATTTGTGTTTATATTTTTAATGTTTAACTTTAATTCCTTTTTTCAAAGTGAGTTGTGTGTATCTGCTTGATATTAAGGAAGACATTACATTTTAAAAAATAAAACTTTTGCCATATTTTTTTTGTCTTCAGAGATTTTTGTTTACTACTTTGTAAGGGAGGAGGAAAAAGGTACTAAATGTCTTAAAGCTGTATATATTCATTTGAAACTGATAATTGGCAATATTTTAAAACGAAATTGTTTGGCAAATTGGTAAATTTGTGTTGTTTAATATACCAAACCAGGTCGAGATTACTTTATGAGTTCCTTAACAGTGACTTTAGATATTTTAAAAGAACTTTGAAATACAAGTAAAAGTTTTCACATTCTCCTCTTATTTTTTGGTGGGGAGGGGTCTTCCCTATGAAGCTATGGCTTCTCTATGAAAGTTACATATCTGATTGGTTAACATGTTGGAATGGTATTAGGGAAACTGGATCTTTCAGTTTGAAAAGCAGAAGAGTATACAGTGACTTTTGACTGGAGTTGATGCATTCTCTTGTGTCTTACTCTTTTTCAGTGAAACCAGCAGTGTGTGCAGCAGCAGCGACACTGGGCTCTTTACCAATGATGAAGGACGGCAAGGTAATCTTAATCCCAGTTTTGGGACACTGGTTCAGTCCTTGACTTTAATAACTGTAGGAGTGACCCATTGAGAATATGATGGATGTATTAGAGCTCCTTGGGGAACTATTAAAGCTGCAAATTCCTTATCTCCTAGAAATCAGATAGATCTGGAGTTGGCCCATGGAATCTGTGTTTTTCACAAGCACCTGAAGTGGGTCTTATATAGTAGTTCGGGTTTAGGGGTTTAGAGTGTAAAGGTTGGGGCTTGGGGAAGTTCCTTTTTATTAGAACCAAGAAGTATCCTCATACATTACTCTTTTTCTAAATGAGGTACTCTTTTTTTTTTTTTTTTTTTGCGGTATCAGTGATTGAGTCTAGGGCCTTGCACATACCAGGTGCTGTGCCACTGAGCCATTATCCCCAGCCCAAGTTGAAACTCCTGAAGATTAGTTATAGAGCCTGTGAATAAGGCTGCTTATTTGTCAGTTCTTTATTTTTATTACCTAGGTAGTAATTTGAAACTTTGCATTGGTGGTATATAAAGGGCGTGTAACAAAATTTTGTCCTCTAGACTTGGCTTAGGGCTACACTACTTGTGCACCAATAAGAGTTTCATTTAGCCTTTTTGGATTATAGTTTTCTTAATCTACATCAGGAATTTGTAAATCTCTAAAGTTCCTTTTTTATTTTTACCAAGGGAGAATTTTATTTATTTAATTTATTATGGTGGTACTGGAGTTTGAACTCAGGGCCTCATGTTTGTTAGGCAGATGCTGTAAGAATTTTACTTATTTGTAAATAACTATAATATTCTAGGTAGATGTATAATGTCTTCTTAAGTTAAGACTTTTTTTTTCTTTTGATTCTGGGAATTGAATCTAGGGCCTTGCTCTGAAAACAGAAGATTTTCTCCAAGGATTAAGTGATTTAAAAGACAAGGGCCACTGGCCATATGTCTAGGTTGGTCCCGTCAGGTACCCTAGTAACTCAAGCATCTAAGCTCTGACTTTGTAGAGACTGGGGGCTGGGAATCTCATCTCCACACATTAGTGTTACAGGCTGCAGACAGTTCTGTGCCCATAGAGTGTTGAGCTTTTTATTATAATGGAGGTTGTGAGTACATGCCTCTCCTATTCTAGGGAAGTAGGGAACTACCTGTACACTCTGAGAGTACAGGTAGGCTCTAGCTAGGGTCTTTTTTTTTTTTTGTATTTTTTGGAGATAGGGTTTTGTTTTGTAGCCCAGGCTTGTCTTGAACTTGCTGTCCTCCTGCTTCTGCCTCCTGAGTGCTGGGATTACAGGTACATACCACCATGCTTGGTGTCTAGCTAGGGTCCTAGTTCTGTTATCTCATATTAAGAAAGTCTGGTTGTCCTCCGTAAATGATCTGGTGCTTACCATTCAGTTACTAGCATTTGACTTTTTCTTTTGCTTTTACTAGTGAAGTAGCATAATGTACCTTTATTTATGTTTTTTGGGGTACTGGGGTTTGAACTCAGGGCTTAATTACATAATGCCCTACCACTTGAGCCACTCCACCAGCCCCATAATGTACCTTCTAAAGGTTATGATATGTCATTATACAGAGGTGTCTGGAGGCTTGTACTTACTGCAGCAAATTATGTTTTTGGGCCTTTGTAAAGTCCACTAATAATGATTGTGTGATTTTATCATGAAAGATTATGGAATATTCTGTAGGCTGAGCTCTCCTTTTTTTTCTCTTAACTTTATACATTCTGTGATGTTTAAATGCTGAGTTCTTAGTACAAACGTGTTGTTTCCTGCTTTTGTACCTTTGTTCATGTTGGTCTCTGTTTGAAATCTCATCCCTCTCCCTTAAATTGAATGACTGGTCATTCACCAACATACAGTTTTCTTCATGCCTCTCCAGGAATGTTGATGGACTAAATCAGTGCCTCATTTTTGCCCTCAGTTTCTTGTTGGGTTTGGCCAACAGAAGGTAGAAGATTGGCGAGAGGTGAATGAGATGGCTGTTATTTGTCAAGTTTTTATTGTGATAATGCTGCTTAAAAGCCCCCAGATTTCTGTGGTTTACCACATTTATTTTTTGCTTTGGGGCTGTGGGTTGGTTGGCACTAGCTTGGGCTCAGCTGGTCTCTAGGCTTCAAGTTACATCTACTCATTGTATCTTACGTAGGCTAAAGGAACAATGGATTTCTCATGGCAGAAGACATAAATGCCAAGTGACCAAACTAGAGCATGCATGTGTGTTTAAAGCCTTTTGTTCTGCTAATGTTCTGCTACTTATAGCAAGTCATATGAACAGGCCCAATATCAGCAGGATGAGGAAGCATGATTTGCCTAAAGGACAAATTTGCCTGTGGGATCCAGTGACATAAGGCAAACGATGTGGATGCATCACTCTGTTATAGGGAGTGGTAAAGACCTCAAATGAAAATGCAGTCTACCACGTTGGATTATAGCTTTCTCTGTCTAACTTTCTGTTGGCTTGTCTGTTGGCAGTGGTTCCTCTGCAGAAAGTTACACTCCTGTTTGGTAGCCTTTGCCCAAGGTTGCAGTTCTTTTCCTGGGTTCTGATAACCATTCTTTCCCTTGCCTCTCTAGGTGTAGAAATGGTAAAAACTCTCTGCTGCTGGCTCCAGGGTTCTGCTTCCCTTGTGGGTTTCCTTGTCTATACCTTTATAAATAGTCACTTCCTTAAAATCCCCTTATTCTTACCTATTTTGAAATAAACTAGTGGAAATTGAGATGCTGTTATCATAGCCAATAGGAAGGAGTTTGAGCCAAGAGTCTGGATATATAGGTCTAATTGTGACTTTGCCATTAATGAGCAATATGGCCTTAGTAAATGGCATAGCTTCTTTTTTTTTTTTTTTTTAATTGTTCAGAACTTTTTTTTTTTTTCATTTTTCTTTTATTATTCATATGTGCATACAAGGCTTGGTTCATTTCTCCCCACTGCCCCCACCCCCTCCCTTACCACCCACTCTGCCCCCTCCCTCTCCCCCCCCCAATACCCAGCAGAAACTATTTTGCCCTTATTTCTAATCTTGTTGTAGAGAGAGTATAAGCAATAATAGGAAGGAACAAGGGTTTTTGCTGGTTGAGATAAGGATAGCTATACAGGGCATTGACTCACATTGATTTCCTGTGCGTGGGTGTTACCTTCTAGGTTAATTCTTTTTGATCTAACCTTTTCTCTAGTACCTGTTCCCCTTTTCCTATTGGCCTCAGTTGCTTTAAGGTATCTGCTTTAGTTTCTCTGCGTTAAGGGCAACAAATGCTAGCTAGTTTTTTAGGTGTCTTACCTATCCTCATCCCTCCCTTGTGTGCTCTCGCTTTTATCATGTGCTCATAGTCCAATCCCCTTGTTGTGTTTGCCCTTGATCTAATGTCCACATATGAGGGAGAACATACGATTTTTGGTCTTTTGGGCCAGGCTAACCTCACTCAGAATGATGTTCTCCAATTCCATCCATTTACCAGCGAATGATAACATTTCGTTCTTCTTCATGGCTGCATAAAATTCCATTGTGTATAGATACCACATTTTCTTAATCCATTCGTCAGTGCTGGGGCATCTTGGCTGTTTCCATAACTTGGCTATTGTGAATAGTGCCGCAATAAACATGGATGTGCAGGTGCCTCTGGAGTAACAGTCTTTTGGGTATATCCCCAAGAGTGGTATTGCTGGATCAAATGGTAGATCGATGTCCAGCTTTTTAAGTAGCCTCCATATTTTTTTCCAGAGTGGTTGTACTAGTCTACATTCCCACCAACAGTGTAAGAGGGTTCCTTTTTCCCCGCATCCTCGCCAACACCTGTTGTTGGTGGTGTTGCTGATGATGGCTATTCTAACAGGGGTGAGGTGGAATCTTAGTGTGGTTTTAATTTGCATTTCCTTTATTATGGCATAGCTTCTTGAAAAGGCTTAGGGAATTACATTGTTTGTTTCTGTGGTTAGTTTTTTCCTGGTAGCTTGGAAAAATGATTTTCTCTCCCATTAATGAGCCACCAAGGAAAAAACAGATATGGGCATACATTCATCTATTATGAGAAATGAAAATATAGCAAAAATTCCCTCAGGAATAGCTAGTTTTGAATTGAGGAGCATTTATGGCTTTGGACCTCTAAGTTTATACAAATAAATGGTGAATGGTAAGGAAGATAGTTTATTTTTTGTGGAAAAGACTTCAGGCTTTGTTAATCAGACTTGGATTTAAATTCTGGCTTCATCATTTACTAACTTAACCTTGGATTCTCTGCACATTAGTTGCCTTATTGTAAGCTGGAGTTTATGTAGGGCTTGGAAGAGATTACATGTTTAGAGGATTTTAGCATGGATCCTGGTGGGTTGTAAGGCCTAATTAGTTTTCGCTATTAAAGCAATCTGATCTAATACAGGTGGACATCCATGTGAAACTAATTTGATATTTTAGTTTTCATAATAATGTGTATCAAGAATACCAGAATAATTTTTTGTATTTTGGTTTATTTAAAAATAAAATAAGAACTATAGCACTGAGAAAGATACCCTCGTATTTGTTTATTTTTAGTACATGTTGAAATTACAATTTATGACATAATCTGTTTGCTTTAGGGGATGATGAGCAGAGTGATTGGTTCTATGAAGGAGAATGTGTTCCAGGATTCACTGTTCCTAATCTTCTGCCCAAGTGGGCTCCTGATCACTGCTCTGAAGTAGAAAGAATGGACTCTGGATTGGATAAACTTTCAGATTCCACATTCCTTTTACCTTCCCGGCCAGCTCAAAGAGGTGAGTTTGGAGGAGGTTAAAATATAGTTCATACTTTTATGGTTCTCTTTGGGAAGAATCATCATCTCATACTCAAGCACGCCTCATAGCACACATTACTGTCTGAATTGTGGAGTTAGCTCAGGGATTATCTGGAGGACTCAAGGGTGAGTCTGAAAGCTTAAGATCTTCCCCATTCCTACCTAAATCATCTGTGGATACTCTTGACATATATTAGTAGTGCATTCCTTCAGCTTGCCAGTGCCAGTTTGTGCCATTTGAGGAAGCCTGGCATTATGTCTTGGATGCTCAGCCTCCGGTAAAGCTAATAGAGTGTTTTTTGGAAGTCTAAAAGATTGGATCTTGGAAAGGAACAGGTTTTAGTAAGAAAGTTGGCATTTTTTTAAATGGATGATTTAAAAATATTTCTTTAAATTAATGATCCTCTTATTGCCTACTTTAAAGCAAATGTATATCCTTTCCCTTGGTATTTATTTCAATTGTTAAGTAACAAAGTAGGATGGAAAGTGTTTAAGATAGGGAGAAGAAAAAGTGGTGATATTCTGGTATTGTCTGTTGACTCTGTGACTGTGTCCAAGTCACTTTATTCCCTTGAAATGTCAGGGTCATTGCTTAAGATATGTGACATTTAATAAGACTGTTTTACAGGCTTCTTTATCTCTGTAAATTTACAATTCTAGGATTCCCAGTAACCAATAATCAGTTAACAAGTATTTACTGAGCATTGTAGGTGATCAGAGTTACACTAAGAGCTATAAACTGCTATCATGTTTTTTTTTTTGGTGGTATGGGGTTTGAACTCAGGGCCTCACGCTTGCTAGGCAGGCACTCTACTACTCAAGCCACTCCACCAGCCCTATGTAGGATTTTGTTTTAATGAATTTGGGTGTTTGATAGGCCTTCTTAAAGCAGTTAGTTCTTGGTACAGACTGCCAGTTGTCTGGGGTACATTGTTGCTACCGTAGTAACTTTTTATCAAACATTTCAATGAATATCTGTAAGTTTTACAGATATTAAAGTAGGCATAAAAATGCAAGAATAGCAAGGAGAAACTTCAAGTGGCCTGTAATCCCAGATTCAGAGACCAAGTCATTGGTAAGATTTTTGTGTCGATTCTTCCAGTTCTTTCTGTATATGGAATACACGTAGCAGTTGGAAAAAAGGTATTATACTGTGCATTCTATTTTCACCAGTGTTTCATGAATTAGAATGTTTTTGAGATAGTAACTAGCATTTAATTTAAAATTGAGTGGTTAATGATAGCTAATATTTATATAGCGTTCACAGTTTATAAAGTATCTTCCACATGCTATTTTATTGGGTCTTTAAGATAGCCCCATAAGGTAGGACTGAGCAAGTGGTTCTTTTATAAATGAGGATGTCAAAGGTGAATGGCACACCTAAAATCATACTGCTGGTGACCAAAATATGGGAAGAGTAAGTCCTTGGCAAATGGCCTTGTGAAGATCCTAGGGGTAGGGACTCCAGTGTGCTATGCTGACTGCATATGGATTTCCTTTTCTTTTCCCTCCTTCCTTCCTTTTCTTTTTTCTTTTTGTTTTAGAAACAGGGTCTTACTGTATGAACCAGGTTGGCCTCAAGTTTGGAACCTTCTGCCTCTATCTCCCAATACTGGGATTACAGGCATGTACTATTTATTATGCTTGGCTGCTTATGGATTTTCTGTGTTCAGTAACTGAGGCATTTTTTCTTTCTTTAGGATATCATGCTCGCTTGAATCGTCTGCCAGGAGCTGCAGCTCGATGCCTCAGAAAGGGGCGAAGAAGGCTGGTTGGGAAGGTGACAGCTTTCATGGTTTCCTAGGTGTTGTGGGAAGGTGGTATTCCCTGTGGGATTTGTGTGTCGTATTGACAATCAAAGGCACTTCAGAACTCCTAGAGTTAATGAAGCCAACTGGAATGTTTTGGGAGTTTACAAGAGTGAGCATGACGTAGGATTTGAATGGATAGGTAATTAAAACTTAATGTACACAGAAGTTCTGACATGGCAAACACTGTCATTGCAGTTTCTGTTGCATATAAATCTACAGGCCTGATTTCATTCTTCACTTTTGATTAATCCTATATTATTGTATAAGTCAAAATACTCTTGGTTTTTTTTTTTTTTTAAGAACTCTTTTGAATTTAGCAATATGTCTTTGTTTTATCCTAACTTTGGACTTTTCAACTAAGAATTCATTAAAAAAAAAACAAAACAAAACTGAAAAAGACCCTTTTGTTACTGAATTCCTGTGTCCTCCTTGGCCACATGTCTGCCATTTATCCATTCTGCCCTTGCCAGGGACTGTGCTGTGCCAGGCATTCACCCCGCTTAGTCCTCCCAACAACCTTGTCAAAAAGGTGACAGTCGCTTTAGCAGATGAGAAAAACACAGGCTCAAAGAAGTTAAGTTATATTTGATGTTACCTGGATCAGAGAGGCAGGAATAGAGATTTGAACCCAGGCCTCCTTTATTCTTTTTAAATTAATTAAATTTTTTACTCCAGCTTTGAGATTGAGAAATAGTCTAGACTATTGAGAAATAGTCTAGGGCACAGGCTCATGTGCAGAGAAGGTGGTGGTGGGCAGAAGTGAGGCATGCAGTTGTACTTGAGAGCATGGATTTGCTCCTTCACTCAATGAGCATTGAGAATGCTACTATGTGGCAGGTTCTGTTCTGGGCCAGGTGTGCAGTGGTTATCCACCACCTCATTCCCTTTAAGGGGCTGCTGCTTATAATATACTTAGAGAAATAGTGTGTGGAAGTTTTAGGCACGCAAAAGAAATGAGGTTGTTTATTTTCGGGTGAACTCAGAGTCTTATTTCTTTTTATCTTTAAATTCCAATTTACATCTCTAGGTTGAAGATATTTGATTATTGGAAGAGTGATGCCTTGTTCCTTTTGGATCACGCAGTTTATAGATGATAAAGGGCTGTTTTTGCTGTTTGGGGAGTTTATATTTAACAGTACAGCTAGCAGATAGGAATGTTTGGGGTTGAAGAAGGCAGTAAACTGGAAGTGGGGAACAGAAAGATGGTTTTACTTTTTCCCTCTACTGGCAAGGCCAAATAATGTTCTCCCTACTGTCTGCTTTCCTTTCTTTTAGCGCTTATAAAATTCCACTCCTGTGGCAGGCAGTCGGTTCATCTTGAAGCCTCCCTGGAAGCTCACCTGGAAGGGATCTAGGGTCTATTGGATGTGCCTGTAATGATGTCACATGAATAGGATAATATTTACTTGTTTAATTCTCCTTCATCACCTTAAAGGGGTATTTGTCATTTCTACTGGAGGTCACTGCTCTTCTCCCCCTTCCCCCCTCCTCTGTCTCTCTTCTCTTTTTTCTAAATTGTAATCATAAATAATGAGTTTCATTCACAGCTCCCTGCCAGCAAGCTGCTAATTACGCAAAGTACTGCTTGTAATTTACACAGTAATAAACTGTAAATTTAAACATTATGGCATTTTAAGTTAATAATTTTTCTGCTGTAACAAATAGCTCATTTTTCACCCATCTTTTCCCTTCGTGCCCCTAATTCTGTGTCTGTAACCAGGAGACATAGCCATAAGGGATGAGGAAGATGAAGAATGTGGTGTGTGAACTCCTTTCATTTAGCTCCACTCCCGTCTAGAATCTAACCTCAAATTAATTTTTCTATAGCCAGTGGTTCTGCTAAAATGTGTATCCTAATGTTTAGGCTAATCCATACACGTAGATGAATACAGATAATAACATCTGCCCAGAAACAAATGTGTTTGAGTAACAGGCTTGACATTCTTGACATTCATGCCTGTGACTTATGTTCTCTCTTCTTAGCCCTTACTCATGTGTGTGTAACTCTTATTCATATATGGGTTAGTGTGCTTTCCCACATACTCTGATAGATATTCATTATAAATGTGCTCAAGTTAAATGAAGGGTGAGTGCCTTCTGCCACTTTCCAATTTTTTGGAGATGATTAGTTTCTGAATTGATTATGGTATTATGGATAAGCTTTCACATTACAATCTTGAACCCTGAATTTACGAATCAATTTATGCTTCTATTTTTACTTTGAGATGATGTGGAAGAAGCAAAATATAGGGTGATAATTTTTGTAGGACACAAAAGCCCTTGGACATGTATACATTTATTCAGCAGATATTTAGGATTCAGTGTCTCGGTGTGAAGGTTGTTGGGGCTATAATCACATAGCTCAGGGATATAGTGTGCTGGCATGTGAAAAATTGACTGCTGTTGGCAGGCGTGGTGGTACATGCCTATAATCCCAGCATTCAAGAGGCTGAGGCAGGAGGATCAAAAGTACAGGTCAGCCTGGGCTACTGTGAGACTCTGTTTCCAAAACAACAACAACAAAAAAAAACAAAAAAACTTGGCTATTGTGAATTTTCTGAAGAAAAATTTCTGCTCCTTTATACTTCAGAAACTCCAGAAAATATTACTTTATATGTATGTATAGATGTGTGTGTGTGTGTATATTTATAAATATATATATATACACACACACATATATGTATGTATATGAGATAAATGTTTGATTCCATTTGCTGGAATTACAGATGTGCTTCATCATGCCCAGCTCTAATATGTATAATTTTTATACTCTTATGTATCAACTAAAAAAATTTAAATGTAGTATTAAAAAATATCATATGCAATAAATGTTTTAATGATTTTTTTTTTTTTTGGATCACCAGAGAATAAGAGAATAAGGTTCACCTGTAATACTTTTAAAATATATTCCCATAAAAAGAGATACAGTTGTTGGTTTTAAGGGTTGGCATTTGACATGTGCCTTTGAGATTGGCTTGGAAAAGTGAACTTGGTGACAGACTGTACTGTATATATTTACTTCTGTAGTTGGGTGCTACTCTTGTCCTTGTCTTTTTAGGAGACCAGCATAAGCACTCTGACTACTGAGAGGATAAGCCATATCATCAGTGACTCCCGGCAGAAAGAGTAAGTGTTTAAGTTGTTACTGGCTTTTCTACCCTTACCTATACATTGGAGAATGAAGCAGTAAGGAATTTTGTGAAGCATCTTAGAAACTGGACTTCAGAGCTGAAAAAGGAGAGCTTAAAGATTTGTACTTCATAACGGTTAAAAAGGCTAGAACTGTGACAATTTTCTAGACTAGTTTTTATTTTCTTCCTTTTATAACTCTAGTGCTACATAGTAGACACCACTAAGAATGTTATATTTTAAGTTCGTTTTTCTGTCTCATAAATTTTTTGTTTTTGTTGTTAACTGGGTGATTGCCTCTATTCTATAGATTGTTTCCCCTGTTTTAGACCTCTTTGTAAAGAAATCTTCCTGTCCTAATTACTGTGGTGAGTGCAGTGGCAAGCCATCTGCCCTTCTCATGACAGCTTTGTCCCTGCATGGGTGACTCTTTTGTGTGATTATAGCCCAACAGCCTTTGAACTGGTTGAAACTTAAATGTCTGCTGACATGTATACATGTCAAATGACTTCCAAAAATTGCCAGCCTTTGTTTTGTCCTTTACACATCAGAGTCAGTGCCCAGTGATGCTCTTGTACACATCCAGCCAAGTCTAATTTTTAACAAATAGGCAAGATGTGCTTGTGGTTTATGCACTCATGGAGTTGGGGTCCTCTTGTCTCTGCATAGCTGAGAATATGCTGGCATCACATTGTGATCTTGGATTTTTCCAGCCTGTCTAGTTGCTGACATTCCTTTGTGAGACTTTTTCCTTTGAAGAGTTACTTTTAGCAAAATCATTCACACACTGTAGTATTTTTCTCCTTTTCTCCTCCAGTTGCTTCTTTTCCCATTTCCTTGTCTTTGCTTTATTATTCTGTCCTTTTATCTTCTCCCCTCTGTAAATTTCCTACCACTTTTATTGCTTTATTTCTTGTTATTCTCTCCCTCTCTTTAGCTTCTGGTTGCCATCAACTGGGAAAAGAGAACGAAATCAGGTATGATCACTTTTCTTTGTCATTTTTATTTTATCATTTGATTTTCTTTTCTTTAGAAAGAATAAAGTGTTGGCTTCTGATTTTCCCCACATGTCTGCTTGTGCACATGAGGTAAGGGTCCTTGTTGTCCATGTTGATCTGATTTTCTTGGAGGACTATTTTCCAAGAATATCCAATACTAATTGATAAGAACTGTAGCCAGTTCCCATCTTTGGTTTAACTGTATTTGTTAATTCTTACTTGTAACACATATTTCAATGGAATCCTGTTTTTGTTTTACTTGTGAACTTTGCAGTAAAAACCGGAATGAATCTCATAAATAGTCCCATTTGATCCTTGCAACCTCTTTTTTTTTTGGTGCTGGGAATTGAACTCAGGGTTTCCTGCATGCTAAGCATGAGTTCTACCACTAAGTTATACTGCCAACCCCCTCGCAACCACCTTTGGAAGTCAATAGATTTTTTACAGATGAGAACCTGAAACTGCTTTATAACCTGAAAGCAATATTTCAGTTAGTCCTTCTGTAAAATAGGTAAGACACTGCAGATAAGGATATATAATTTCAAAGACTAGTCAGTGGTAGACTGGGATTAAGAGACAGGTAGTCTATTTCTAGTCTACTTCTGATTCCACTATACTATGCCACTGTAATGTATTCTTAGAAACATTTGCCAGGATAAGAGAAAAAAAAAGATAATTTCATGCTTATCTTGAGAAAAAAGAACTGATAGACAACTGTTAATCAGGAAGCATAAATCCCTATTATATCATCTAGGAAGTTCATCTGTGCCATTTAGGTGATTATTACATATTAAAAGTTTTTGGAAAATTGTTTAACAAGGAATAGGGTTTTTTTTGGAGGCATGCTAGATTAGATATAACACATTCATGGGCACACTATTAAGTATGCACAACTTTATTGAATAGAGTGTGTTTTTTGTGTCAGAAGAGTTGGACAATCAAAGAGAAAAAATTAATCAAATAGTTGGTTACCCTTTGGGATCATTCTGTTTCGTTTAAGCCTTACTGAAACAATCTATTTATTTCCACAGTTTAATCCCCTTTCTCCCCTGTACTCCCTGGACGTTGTAGCTGATGCTTCTCACAGAAGGTGTTCTCCAGCACACTGCTCTGCCAGGTAATTGTCTTCTGGTGACTGCTCTTTTCTTCTGTATAGGATCCAATGGAATCCTTACAACAACCTTCAGGGGTAAGTAGATGTTTTACAGCTACAGAAACAGACTGAGTGCTGAGGTATTTTTCCTGTGACCACATGACTAGTATGTGATTAAGTCTCAACTGTGACCTAAGCCTTCTGGCTCATATTTCACATTATTTTTGCTATTAAAAGCCCTATCTTCAATGACCATTATTAATGGCCCTTGCCATGACCTGCAAAACCCTGCATTATCTGATTTCTGCCTCCCATGTCCAGCCTCCTTTCATATAGTTCTTCCCCTTCTCTTGGGGGAGATCCAGCTGCACCAGGAAGCTCTATTTTGTTCTTCAAAAATAGCAGCTCTTTCCTGCTTTAGACCTTCACTCTTGTGGCCTTTGCCTGGAAACCTCTTTAAGCTCCTTGCTCCTCTCAACTTAGGTGTCACCTCCTCAGAGAGGACCACTCAGACCATCCTGCCTAAAAGACCACATGCAGTACTCTCCACTCATTATGCATTTGTTTCCTTTATAGCTCTATCACAGTCTGTAATGAATTAGTGTATTAGTTAGTTGCTTCCTCCCCCCACCCCCAATACCTCTCTCACTAGAATATAAGCTTCGGAGTTCAGGGACCTTCTTTCACTCCCTGATAAATTCCTAGCACTTGTGTTTGCCACTTGTTAGGCAGTCAGTATATATTTGTCAAATGGATGAATCTTATGCCTCATTATAAATTCTCTTTATTTAGGTGACATGAGAAGTAAGTTTGGTTTTCATGATAGCCTTCATTAGTAGGGCTGTTATCCAGCTAACAGACTAGACCATAGAACTTTGATTAATTTCTGATAGCATAAAGAATTTATTTTCAAGGTTCTGATGATTTTCTTTCTTCTTAATAAACTCTTAAATAGATATGTTCATTGATTTGGGGTGCAAGCTGCACAAAACTGCCCTTTTATGGTCACATTTAAAACTTCTATTATTTCGGACCATAACCTACTCTAAGATCTTTCTACTAGACAAATAGTATTATAATTGGGAAAGTTGTTTGGCTAGAGAGACCATCATAAGTGATCATAAGTGGTGTTACTAAGAAAATTGTGAGGTGATGTAAACTGCCACTCTATGGCCTTTTTTTCTTTTTTGAAGTACTGGAGTTTGAACTCAGGCCTCTCGCTTGCTAGGCAGGCACTGGTCTCACTGAGTGGCAGGCTGAGCCACTCCCCAAGCCCTTTTTTGTGGTGGTTTTTTTTTTTTTTTTGAGATAGGGTCTAAGAACTGTTTGCTGGGGCTGCTTTTAAATCTCTATCCCCCTGATATCTGCCTCCTGAGTAGCTAGGATTATAGGCGAGAGCCCTCGGCACCTGGCTAAGACCTTTTCTGTAGTAATGTAATGTTTATCTATCATCCATTCAGATTCTACTGAGTGCCAGGCTTTTTGGTTAGGTAGTTCCTGAAGGAACTTGCATTCAAGAAAGGCAGGTATGGACACTGACAATTGCAGTAAAAGTGTGCACTTGAATAATGTGAAGCACAGAGGAGGGGATTTCTAACTCAGGCTCAGGAGAGGCTTTCTTTGTGATAGCCGTGCTCAAAAAAGACCTAAAATTTCAGTGGATAGGAGAGCAGTCCTATAGATTTTATCTTGATACCAACAAAGTAATGGTGTGTATACTCTTTGAGAAGATGGTATGAGTACTGTTGTACCAGGTCCAGTGCTTAAAGTGGATTTGCCCCCCTCCCTTTACCTCTGCTGTCTAGAGCTGTGCTGTGCTGAGGTCAGATCAGTGCTTCTGCCGGGTTTTCTATTTCCTTCAGAAGCCTCCATCCTGTGGCTGAACTTGGTGTGAGCTACTTGTTTTTTTGTATATCTCATTATCTATATCATTATTGTCCCTCTCTTGTTTGATGGTGCTTGTGGCTAGACTTGGAAACATTAGGAAGTCTCAGCTGAGCTCCTGGTATGCTTGGCTCTGGGGAAATATTGCTGCTGGTTTAGACTGTCACTAAAAGCAGAGGAGAGAGAATGTGGACAGTTATGGATTGTCTTTGTCCTTACTTGTACACAGCATTCCCAGGATAGTGTATACCAAACGAGTTGCATGCATGAAGGTTCATTGAGGTAGGGGAAGAAAAGAATTTTAAACTTAACATTTATTTATTATCTTACCCTTGAAAATTTTCTTTGATTTAATTGTGTGTGTGTGTCTGGTAGCACATATTTATATTTTATGTGTATATCTTAAATATATAATGACTGTTTCCTCACAGTTTTTACTCATTGAAGATATGCACTAAAGTCTCACAACCACTGTTCTATGGGAAATGTTCAGTGTAGGTGACCTTTATGCAGGTTATAGAAAATATGAATGAGGAAGCACTGAGTTCTTGGAACCTTTGAAATTCTAGGGTTTCTGTGCAGCAAGGGGTAAATGGAGAAGAACCAGTCTAACTCCACTGTGGGGGACTAATGAGATTGGTTTAGGAATTGGGCAGTGAGTTTTGCAGAGAGTGGGCCATTTAGCAAAAGCTTGGCATCAAAGAGGGAATGTAAAGGGGTAGGGGTGGTAGGGAAGAGGCAGCCAAATGACTGTATTAAAAAGTGTTTCTAATGGAAATTTTTATCTTTTTCTTGTCCCATTTTATTTGTAATGGGAAAAGATTTCTTTCAAAGCATGGGAATTTTACACCCATCATTAGAACGTTTTCTGTGTGTGTGTGTGTGTGTGTGTGTGTGTGTGTGTTATGACTGTGTTTTCATTAGTGGTATAATTTTATTTTGCAAAGAGAAGTGTATCCTGTTTTATCACAGCTTTCCCTGAGGAGGGCTGGTGTATTAATTTGCTGTATTGCCTCCTGGCTGTTCCCAGGCTGTTTTTCCTCTTCATCATGGAATTTTTAATGGCCCTCATGCCTCTTGGGAAGCATGTGAGGAAGAGTTCCTCAGGGAGTGCTTCCCTTTTTTCACATGCCTATAATTACTCTCCTTTAAGAACACAAAGAGGTTGATAATCATGCCTGAACTGTGAAGGTTCCCTCCTGCCAGGGTACTGAGCTGAGGCTGCTTCTTGCCTGGACACTGCCAGTTGCACTCTGGCAAGCACTCAACTTCTGCATGTCAACAAGGCTACCTCAAGAGCCATATGCAGCTCAAGTTCTCAGAATAAGCTGGGAGCTAAGGGGAAACAATGAGTGAACTCAAGGTACTCTCTTGTTTAGTATTGTAGTGCTATCAACAAATAAATAATGGGATCAGAATTTTGAGGTTACACTGTATTGAGGTATCATTTTAATACAGCTCAGCTGTCAAAGTGAGTTTTGTGGTCTTTGTACCATCTAATAGATTTGTGGATTAAGGTTTTCAGAAATATCACTCTAGAAATTAAGTTTGGTGGATTTCAACCCTGGGTGTACTTTGGAATTGCTTAAGAAGCTTTAAAAAACATTCGTGCTGGGCCCACCTCCTGATACCATTATGTAGTTGGTCTGGGATGAAGCCTAGGTATTGGCATTATTTTAAAGCACCTCAGGTGACTAACATGCAGCCAGGGTTAAGAACCACTGCTCTAAGTGCATGTGGTTTTATGGCTGGTGCTTTGTAATTTGCTTAACAGGGACTCCTGTTTCGTAATTGGCACAGGCTCTGTGCTTTGGTGTTGAGAACGTGACTCCCGTGGGTGCGGGGGACAGCTCTGGCCCTCTAGCTCAGGAGAAGCTGCAGCAGGTGAAAAATAGGGTTGGTGTCCAGCACAGCGCCCAGCATGCAGTTACTGATAAATGGAGAGGGCATAGGTTTGTTGGGGGGATGGACAGTTGGGTAGTTGGCTGGGTATGTGGATAGAATTTGTAAACCAACTATTTTGGTTTTGTTACTTAAGTTGATAGTATTGGAATTTGCTGTTAAGGTAGAAATACTTGGTGTTAAGAATTGCTGCTGTTCAAACAGCAGATGGTGTGATTGGTGTTCTGCTAGAGGCGGTGGTATTGTCGTAAGGCTCAGTCAAATTTGTGGTGAGACTAGAGCTGTAGGCAGCTTTTCCCAAAATGATTGCGAAAGATAGCTTTTCTTACCATTATTGCCTGTAGGAGACTAGAACTAGAGCTCAGCATTTTGCTACTTCTCTGGATGATGCAGCAATCATTGCTTACCATTTTTAAGTGCTTCATGGCAGTTCTGGTTTCCTCCAGTTTCTGTGCTCTTTCCTCGTCTTGTGCAGTGACTTGGTGATGTACTGCCATTTCCATTTCAGTACTTTTTTTTGAGCAGCATGGGGTTTGAACTCAGGACCTCATGCTTACTAGGCAGGCGCTCTACCACTTGAGCCACTCCACCAGCCCACCATTTCCATTTATTCTTTCTTTAAGATCTCAAATAGCAAAGTGCATGTTTGGTATCTTTTCTTATAGGTCAGTTTCTTTGTAAATAAACTGTTTTTTATTTAAAATGTCTTATTTTCAGTTCTAGTAAAGAGAGCAGATATAGCTTGTTAAGCAAATACTATACATATTCTTTAATGAATGAATAAAAAGTCTCATAGTTTCTGCTGTTTTCTTTGTTGTCCATTAGATATTGCCAGAGACAGTATTAGATTAAGAGCCACCCGGGTATTAATGGAACCACTTGGGTAGGAATCTTGGCTTTACCTGGGCAAATGACTTAAACTACCCATTCTTCAATTCTCCATGTTTAAAGTGGAAAACTTTTCTTATTGAGCTAATGGGGATCACAATGAAATAGTCTGTGTAAATATTTTGGCAGCCTGGTAGCTAATATTTTGTTATGTAGTTACTTCCCTATCCTGTCCATAGGGTGATTGCAATTTTAAGACCTTTGAGTTGACTCCCAGAGTCATTTGCTAATAAGATGGTGTTCAAATTCTTGAGGGCCTTAAATGGCCTCAGATGGGCCATCATAGGAGGCATTTGGATAATGTTTGGTTAAAAAAAGAGAGAGACCTTTCTGCCCCATTAGAGAGTTGA